AAAAAAAAATAAAAATAAAACTAAATATAAATTTCAATGAAAAAAAATTATATTATTATTATTATCTATTGTAGCAATACTTTTGGATTTATTTTTATATACTTATATATAATACAGTACTATATTTATATATATATAAATTATATAATATTTATTATAACTATTGAATAAGTTATAAATAATGCAAAATTATAGCCACTGAAAAAAAACAAAAAAAATTATAATATTATAATATAATTTAATAATTAATATTAATGTTATAACTATATATCAATATTTTTTAATATTATAAATAATATATAAATAAAAGTATATAAACTTTATATACAGTACTGTATTTATATTGTAAAATATAGTTTAAAAATATATTTAATAGTTAAATAATTATATTTATAGATAATTTTTTTTTTTAAATTAATTATAAATATATAGTTAAATAACTATAAACAAAACAATGATACAAACTATGTATGAAATTGTCAATCAATTGGAAAGTTTTGCTAGAAATAAGTTTATAATGTTTTCGACAACTGATGACTACTTATTGATTAAAAACAACAATAAACTTAAGATAATAACTGCTAAACAATGGACAGGTATCTTATTAGCCGATACTGTACTCATTATATTTACCATACGATACCTACTATCGGCTCTAGTCAACCGGCAATGGCTACGGGCACTGGTATGCGATCCATTATATTTGGTTATACATCCGGCCTTATTGGGCTCCTGTATGTTTGCCGACTGTACACTGGTCATGCTACTAGTCAACATGACTATACAATCCAAATACTATCTGGGCAATTTTTCTATACTAGATTTATTATGGCAATTCAAATACAATAAACTAACCATGGCAATTAATCCAGATAATCTGAATAGATTATCTAGACAATTAACCATGATGATTAAATATTATCTAAACTATAACTATTGGTGCCAGGTTATATTGTTTATCGTATGGAATCTATGTATGACTTGGATGGCCTACTATCAGGATCCCCTAGGTTCACAGTTTACCTTGATAACTATGCTAATTGGCTTAGTAGGTACCTATCTGGCCGGGCATCTGGCCCTGGCCATACCACAATTTGGCTATATAGTATGGTATCTAGGGTGCTGGTATCTAAAATCAAAGTTTCAGGAAATTTCCCAGGAAATTTCCCGGGCAATTAGTAAAAATAACAATAGATTATTGCGACAACAATTAATTGATCATGTTCAGTTGACAAAATTTGTCTATAAAATAAATCAACTATTTAAATTTATATTATTTTATTTGTATTATATATCATCGATTGGTTTGGAAATTATATTGTATATAATATTTGCACCCGGAACACAATTTCAAACACGTTTTATAGTTGGCATATTTTTTCTGATAATGTTTACAATAATTTTCAGTATTAATTTGATGTCTATATGGGTTTTACGTTCAGCTCATCGACCCCGACATCTACTCGAGTCCTATATATGTCGTTCCCGGAATCGACTAACGTATCGCCAGAAATGGAAACTCCAGTCAATGATTGAACGTTTGTGTGGACCCGACATTGGGTTCTATTGTTTGGATTTATTTCCAATGAATAACTGGGAGTTTGCAATGTTGTGCATAAATTTCAGTTCAAATCATTTACTATTATTAAGTATTTTAAATTATTTTTAGAATTTTTTATATATATATATATATATATATATATAATAAAAATCTATAATTTAAATATAAATAAAAAATTTTGAGAATATTATTAACTATTTATTATTATATATTTGTTCTGAATTTAAGTTCAAATAATTTTATTACTAATAAGTAATTTTGCATAATATTTATTAAAAAATTATATTTTTTTTATTAAATATTAACAAATTTCTAGTTTATATTTTATTTCTATTATTTTATTTTAACTATATTTATTTTTTTAAATAGTATAAAATGTATCAAATGTTAATTTTTAGTTTTAAAAATATAAATATTTTTAAAAACAAAAAAATTAAAGTTTATTTTATACTAAATTTTTATAAAGTTTTAGTTTTTTACATATATATATATTACATTCAATAATAAATTATTACAAAAATCATTAATCATTTTTAATACAATTAATTATTATATCTTAGATATTTTTATTTTAAAAACTTAATGATATTATTTCTTATAATAATAATTAATTGTATATTAAATTAATTTTTTTATATTTTATAAAAATAAATTTTTTCTATCTAACTTTTAACATTAATTATTTATATTATGGTACTGTAATATAATAAAAATAACTATAATTTTCTATATATTTTATAATAAATATTAATTTATTCGTTAAAAAAATAACTTTTTAATATTGTTTTCAATAATGTTATATATGTATAAATATTTGCGTGCATTGTGCTAGTTAATATTGATATTTATTTATTTTTATTTATTTAGTGTTTATTATAAATAAATAAATATTTTAACTTTATTTATTTACAAAAAATATATATAACTAAATATACATTTATTTGTAAAATTATATTATTATTATTATTATCGATTGTATTATTGACAATACTTTTGAATTTATTTATATATATATATATATATATATTATAACTAAAGGTTAAGTTTATATTTAATGCAAACTTATTGCCACAAAAAAAACACATTAATAATATTGTAATTATTATTTAATAATAACTATAACTATATTATAATATACCAATATTTTGCAATAACATAGTAAATAATAAACATTATGTATAAATGTTAAACTATTTTAAAAATTTCTAAAAAATTTAAATAACTAATAATATTTATAGATAAGTTTTTAAATAATTTTAATTTTTAATTAATTATAAATTTATATATTGAATATATATTTAATTAAATAATTATAATTAAATAACTACATTAAAATAAAAATGACACAAACTATGTATGAAATTGTCAACCAATTGGAAAGTTTTGCTATAAATAAGTTTATAATGTTTTCGACAACTGATAACTATTTACTGATTAAAAACAACAATAAACTTAATAAAATAACTGCTAAACAATGGACAGGCATACTATTAGCCGATATTATATTAGCTTTATTTACCATACGATGCCTGCTATCGGCTCTAGTCAATCGGCAATGGCTACGGGCACTGGTATGCGATCCATTATATTTGGTTATACATCCGGCCTCATTGGGCTCCTGTATGTTTGCCGACTATACACTAGTCATGCTACTACTCTACATGACTATACAATCCAAATACTATCAGGGTAATCTATCTATACTTGAACTACTATGGCAATTCAAATACAATAAACTAACCATGGCAATTAATCCAGATAATCTGTATAGATTATTTAGAAAACTATCATGGATGGTTAAATATTATCTAACTTATAACTATTGGTGCCAGGTTATATTGCTTAGCGTATGGTATCTATATTTGACATGGATGGCCTACTATCTGGATCCACAGGGTTCACAGTTTACCTTGATAACTATGCTAATTGGCTTAGTAGGTACCTATCTGGCCGTGTATCTGGCACTGGCCATACCACAATTTGGCTATATAGTATGGTATCTAGCGTGCTGGTATCTGAAATCAAAGTTTCAGGAAATTTCCCAGAAAATTAGCCGGGCACTAATCGATAATAATTATAAATTATTACGACAACAATTAACTGATCATGTTCAACTGACAAAAATTGTCCACGATATAAATGATTTATTTAAATTCATATTATTCTATTTGTATTATATATCATCGATTGGTTTGGAAATTATATTGTATATAATATTTGCACCCGGGACACAATTCCAAACACGTTTAATAATGGGCATATTTTTTCTGATAATGTTTACAATAATTTTCAGTATTAATCTAATGTCTACACGTGTTCTACGTTCAGCTCATCGACCCCGACATCTACTCCAGTCCTATATATGTCGTTCCCATCGACTATCGTATCGCCAGAAATGGAAACTCCAGTCAATGATTGAACGTTTGTGTGGACCCGACATTGGTTTCTATTGTTTGGATTTATTTCCAATGAATAATTCACATTTTGGCCAATTTATGGTCAATTTATTTGCCAATCATTTATTACTATTAAGTATTATTCAATAATTAGTATTATTATCAATAATAATAATAATTAATTTAATTGTAACATTTTTTTAATTAAAAAAATTAATTCATTATATTTTAATTAGCTAATAAATATAAAATGACTGTATATTAAATATATATATATATATATTAGATTTATTAGATATATTTTTAAGAATAAAGTATAAACAATTAGATTATTAATAAAATTATTAATGAATTTCAATAATAAAAATATCTGATGTAGACAAGTATTTCATAAAAATAAATAAATAAAAATAATAATAAATCAATAATTAATTATAACTATAATTAATATTGTATATTACATTATTATCAATAATATTTTTTAAGATAATATTTTATTTTATTAAATCATCCAGATAAGATAATTATTGAAATTAATGTATATTATTTATATTATTACCTTTACTAAAAAAAAAATAATAAGATAAATTTAATAAACAATTAAATAACAATAACATGTTATTTTATTTCAAATTAATTAATAACATAATGCTTTATACTAAAAAAATTAACTAAATTTTTATCTATAAATAAAATTATTTTATTTCAATAAATTATCTTATAAACAGTATATATAATAATAAAAAAATAAAATACTTCAAATATATGAAATTAAATAACTAGTCTAGCCAAAAACAATTATCTAAATTTAGTAAATTAATACAGGTATATTAATAAACAAATTTTAAAAATAAACATTATGATACATATAATGAAATTAATTTATGAGATAATTATTTTTTAATAAAAAAAATTAGGTATATAAAGCAACTACCAAAAAACAAAAAATTATTTTAAAAAATATATTAACATTTTACTAATTATTGTTTTATAATACATATATATATACAATACAATTAATTAACAATGAACATTTTAAATATATTGTTTGCAATTGTTTGTCTATGTCAATTTCTAAACATTGGCATCAATGGAAAATCAATGGTAATTATAATAATTGTTAATATAATCATTACTAAAATAATATTTATTATTTATTAATATAATAATTACTAATTATTAATAGAAGAATTATATATATATATATTAATTTTTATTGTATAATATTTTTATTTATTTACAATAGACACCCCCTGACAACAATTCAAAATCAGTCTACATTTGTGGTGGCGAACAATTAGATGACAATCATAATTGTTTTAAATGGGATATCCAGGCAAACAAATGGTCTGAATTTGCCCATACAACACTAGCCAGACAGGGTAACCAACTGGTTGTTGTAAATCAGACAACAATGATTATAATTGGCGGCGAAAAGGTTATGAGTTTTTTTAAAATATATATTAATTATTTTTTTAACTTTTTTAATTTTTTTTTTAAAAATCTAAAATTTAATTATAGAATTATGATTGGAATATTGGAGAAGTTTATGATTCAACTAATAATAAATGGAATCAGTTTACAGTAATGTCTGAACATAGAAGGTAACTATATTTTTCATAAAAATTTTTTTATAAAACTATTTTTTAAAATATAATTAGTATATATATACTTATATATATATATATGTATTGTATATATATATGTATAATTATATATATATATTTACTGATTTCATTTTTTATAATTAATTTAAAATTATACTATATTTATATATTTAATGTATTTAATAATTAATTTCTATAGTTATTTAGGCGTCGAAGTTATCAATAGTATTATATATGCTTGTGGTGGCTATAGTTACAATGGGGGTAAAACAAACCAAAATAATTATTTTCTTTAAAAATTTATATAATTTAATTAAAAAAAAATTAATTAAATTAATTAATAATAATCAAATATTAGGCATACAATCGTGTGAATTTTATGATCCAAAATTTGGCCATTGGCAATTATTGAATAAATTAATACATGAACGTTGGAACTATCAGATTGTTGCCCATAAAAATAACCTGTACCTAATTGGCGGTTTTGGACAGTCAAGTTACTATGACGATATGGAAATTATCAATGTCAAAACTAGATTAAGTTCAACTGGGTCAAAAATGTCAATGAAAAGGTAGCAGTAGTAGTAGTAGTAGCTAGGTTAATTCTATATACAAGTAAATTAATTAATTTATAATTAATATAATTATAGTATAGTATTAGTATAGATTATAGTATAATTTGTTTAAATTATATATATATGTATATATTTCAATTAGTTTAATATTTTTTTTTGTATTAATTTTATATACTTTGTTATTTTAATTATATAAAGATATTTTTTTTTTAATTTTATTTTTTTTGTCAATTTATATATATATATATATAGACTGTATATATAAATTTTTGTTTATTTAATTATCTAATTGTTATTGTTATTTAATACAATAATATTAGAAAGCTAATAAACTAAAAATTTATTTTATTTTTTTCATATATATATATTATTATTATTATTTTTGTTAAAATTATAGAGATGATTGTGCTGCAGCATCCTATATGGATAAAATTGTTGTATGCGGTGGCTATACAACCAATACATGCGAATCATACGATACAACCACTGATAAATGGACTAAATTTGGTAAATTTAAATTTTTAAATGAATATTTTTTTTAAAAAATCACTAATTTTAATTTGACAAAAAATATAATAAATATTTATAATTTTTTTCAAGCATCAATGAATCGAGTTAGATTAAATTTCAATTTACTAGTTAATGATGACAAGCTATACGCAATTGGCGGATTTCCATGTAAAATATTAATTAAATTTATTATTTTTATATAAAAAAAATATTAATAGATTTTTTGATGTTGTATAAATTGTATAATATCTCTAAAAATAATAATTAATGTTAATTTTAATATTTGATATTTTATTTGATATTTTACTTATTTTTTTAAAAATATTGTTTAGTAACAAACGTTATTGAACTATACGATAGTAAATCGGATAAATGGGTTGATTATACAACTATGCCGTTTAATAATGCTGGTTTTGGTGTAAGTTTTTTTTTGTTTTTTATTTAAAATATTATTATTTAAAAATTATATATTTTTTCACTATTTTTTTTAACTCTAGGCTGTATTATTCTAACGAGAAAAACAGTCAACTGGGTATATTAAAAACTTATATTTTAAAAAAAAATTATTGCAATAATTTAATCATATATAATATTTTTAATATTATTATTATAAATTAATACATGTATTAAAAATATATATCTTATTTGTTAAATAACATTATTCTAAGCATTACATAAAATATCTAAATTTGTTACATGATTATTTTGATTTTATGAAAAAATAAAAAATTATAACTAATATAATTAATTAAGTTATTTAAGTTTTATTTATTTATTATGTTTAAAACATACTTATTATTGGTTAAAATAATTTTATTTTTATTGTTATCAATTATAATTTATCATCATTTTTTAATAATCTTATAATAGGGTAGTCCTCTGGCACTGGTAGTTAAGGTGCTTTAGTTGTTATTATAGTATTGTATTGATCTTAGCTTTGAATTGTATACCAAAAAATGTAATGTGTACTTTTATAAAAATCAATAAAAATATTAATTTATTATATTATATCTAAGAGTTTCTAAATTATAAAAAATAATTAAATGTAATAATAAAAATATTTTTTTGAGATTATGAAAAAATATACTTTTAGTTAAAAAAAACTATACAATAATTTTATTACGAATATTGCACACATTTACAATAAATTATAATAAAATAGTTCTTAATAACCTAACTTAACCTAAATCATAGTTGATTGAAGTACACTATTCTATTCACTACACTATTGAAGCTCTACATAAAAAAAACTATGAGAAAAATCTGGTATTCATGTATAATGAATGTATAATAATGATTTACACTATACTAAATCATAATATAGATTTACTCATGTTTTTTTTAAAGACTTCACTAAGTCTCACAAAATTTAATATCTGTATACTAGACTAATACAAATTTTTATTTTTAAATTGTGGATCTAGATTATATGTTTATTAAAAATATTTTATATATAAATATTTTATTTTCTAAGAAATATTTAAAAATTTATAATTTATAATTAATAATTATATTGTTTTTTGTTTTCTTATAAAATTTTAGTTGAAAAAATTTATATTGTTGTTTACTATACCATAGTTTATAAACAATTTTTTTCATTATAATTCATATAATTAATATCATAGAAATAATTAAATGCTTAAATTTATTTATTTATTCATAATATCAATAATATTCATACACTTGATTAATAATTTAATATATATATATATATATATAATTCAAGTAATAATAATTTTTGTTTGTCTATTGCAATTAATATACAGTAGCCTAAAAAATAAATACAAAAAAAATATTTTTAATTAAATAATATAGATGCTAAATTTTTTTTGTTGATAAATTTTAAAAATAGATATTTATATACATACACCAAAGCCAGTTATATTAATTGGCATGGTAGTATAATCAATCCATTTATCCGATTTACTATCGTATTGTTCAACAACAGTTGTAACTATATATTTTTTGAAAAATAATAATAATAATAATAAGTAACATGCATAAAATTTAAAAAAAATTAAAAAAAAATTACATGGATAGCCGCCAATTGCATAAATCTTATCATTAGCTGTTACTAGCTGAAAATTAGCTCGTTGACGATTCATTGATGCTAGAAAAAAACAGTAGATATTTTTATTATATATATAATTGTTTTAATTTTTTTTTAAATTATTATATTTTTAATTTTAAACTACTTTAGGTTAGGTTAGGTTAGGTTAGGTTAGGTTAGGTTAGGTTAGGTTAGGTACTATAGGTTCGCAAAAGTAAATATTTATTACTAAATTTAGTCCATTTATTTGTAGCCGAATCGTACGATTCGCAACTGGATAATGGATTTGAACAATCATGACCACCGCATACAATCAATTTGCCCTGAAATGATACAGAACCTGCTTGAAGTCTATAAGATAAAATATTTTAATTATTTTATATTATTATTTAATTAAAATTTTTCAAAAAACTAACCTAACAGTAGATAGATAAGCTCCTTTAGTAAATGATCTGGTTTTTATATTTATTATATCAACATGGTTCGAACAAATATTATTAATTAAACCACCTAGCATATATAAACTATTGTTATGGGCAACCAATTGATAGTTCCATCTCCTTTCGGTCATATATTGATAAAAATGCCAATAGTAATCGTTTTTAGATTTATATTCACAATAGACAACACCTGTTTAGTAAATAATAATATGTTTTTTTAACTAAAAATAGCAATAATAGTAGAATTAATTTAGTTATTAATACACAAATAATATCTACTTATTTTACTAATTAAAATACTATCAAAATACTATCTGTTTATTAAAATATAAAACTTAAAACTATAATATAATATAATAAAATAAATAACGTAATACCACCATCTCCATTGTAGCCGCCGCAAACATAGATTGTATCATTAATTACGGCTGTGCCCATATATCTAATAATAAATAATAATATATTTTTAAAATAACGTGTAAAATAATTTAAATAAATTTTTATTTAAAAAAACCTTCTATTTCTAATCAAGTTATCATCCGCTGGATTCCATTGATTAGAAGTTTTATCAAATATTTCCATATGATTCCAATTCATATTCTAGAATTTTAATAACTAATTAATATTTTTAATTTAAATTTTAATAAGATATTTAAATTAATTAACTATGAAAATACTAAAAAAAAGCTAAAAAACAACCTTTTCGCCACCAATTGCGTACAATTTATTGTCCAATACAGCCAATTGATTGCAACTGACGTGCAATTGTTGTATGAGCAATTTCTGACCATTTATTAGCATCAAGATCGTATCGATAACAATTATGAGCATCATCAACTGTTTCGCCACCGCAAACATAGATAGATTGGGAATTCTATATTTAAAAAATAAATAAAGTGTAATTTAAATATTTTTTTTTATATTTAAACTTTTTGATTTTTAGATTTTAAAGTGTCTAAAAAATATTTTTTAAAAAAATTAAAAAAAATACCAATTGTGCATTGGTAAGATTATAAATTTTACAGAAAATTATTAGAAACAATATTTGTGTTAAATTTTTCATTGTTTTTTAATTTATTATTTTGTTGTTTAAATTAAAAAAATTACTAAATTTAATATATTAATTTTTTTCTATTGAAAATATAAAATTAATAATAAATAAAAATATAATTTTTTTTGTTTACTTTTATACTTTTTTTCAATGAATTGTATTTCATGTTTATCTAACTTTCTGTTTATCTAAATATTTATAGATATTTTAGTAATTTCATATTGAAATAAATTTATCAAAATTTTTAATTATTTGTATTATTGATATTTTTTTGGAATTTCTATTAAATGAAAGGATATATAAATTAGATTATTATTGAAATTAATTTTCGTATGAAATATGTTTTTAGTTATTAAAACTATTTCAATCAATTGTTTTAGTAATAGGAGATGTATTACTAAATATAATTAAGTAATAGTTTTAAGCTTATTATGATATTAAAAAAAAATTAAGTTAATAATGACTGTTATAATTTGTTTTTTTAAAAAAAATAATTTTTAAATAAATTTATTGTAATTGTAACTGTCTAGACAAGTTTTAAAAAAAATAATTTTTACTTAAACTGCTTTATTTTATTTAAGCTAATAGTAACACTATAGTTTATAAAATTAAATTTTTATTTTATATTTATTTTTTTTATTTCTAAACTTTATTTAATTTTGACTACAAATTAGATTTACAAACAAACAAAAATTATCTAAAACTAATAAATTATACATTTTAGTAATAAATTAATACAAATAAAAAAAATAATAGTAAACAATAAACATTAATTTAATAATTTTTAATATTATATTTTTTTTAAAAAAAATATATCAATACAAATACTATTTAAAAATAGTAATAATAATAATAATAATGAAAAAACAAAATTATATATTAAATATAAAACTATTAAATAAAAAATAATTATAAAACATAGATTTCATATATAGTATTTAGTTTAAAAACTATATAATTATATCATAATTATTATATCTTTAATAATAATAATAATTCTAGAAAAAATCAGTACTACTACTACTACTACTACTAGTAATACCATTAATAGGACCGGTAGTAGTAGTAGTAGTTGTAGTAGTGATACCACCATCACCGCCACCACCAAATAGACCGGACAATAGTGATAGTAGACCACCTAAAATACAATTAACCAGAAAATTGATACCGTAGGCCACTAGACGATAGCCGGGCACCAGTAGCGGTATACCTTTGACCACTGATCCGATAATACCCAATATACAGCCGACTAGACCCGCAGGTATAGTCAAACATACGTTAACAGTGGATAGTATACTCAATGCTAGTCCCGTACCCGAACCAACCAGTGGTAAACCTAATTCAATGGCCGTTCCAATTGATTCAATTATATTGCATGTTGTAGATACTGTTACCGGTAATTGATTAGTTGATGGTTGATAATTATTTATGGCTATTTTAGTAAATTAATTTTTTTTTTAAAAATATTATATATTTATTTAGTAATTATTTAAATATTTATTTAGTAATTATTTATATTTTTTATATATTTATTTAGTATTTATTTATATTTTTTTATATATTTAATTAGTAATTATTTATATATTTATTTAGTATTTATTTATATTTTTATATTTTTATTAAATTTATATTTAAATATTTATTGAATATGCATATATATATATATTTACCATAATCGACATAGTTGCAATTTATTGATGATGATGATAATATTAGTATTATTGATATATAGCTAAACTGATTGATAATTTTAATATTATAAAATAATTTTGACATGATTTTTGTTATAATCAATTAAAATTTATTAAAATTTATTTGACTACTAGTTTATTATAAAATAATTAAAAAATATCAATGCTTAAATATCAATTAAATTTTTTTTGAAACAAAAATTATGCATGTCATTTTTTTATCATAATTATTTCATAATAACTAAATAGTTGCTTAAAATTTTTATAAGTAATTAGTTTTTATTTTTTAATTAAATAAAATATTGCTTAATTTTTTTTAATTTCTTTATAATTTTTTTAAAAAAAATTATTTAGTAAGTCATGTTGTTTTTGTTTTTATAATAAAATCAATAAATTATTTTACTAATTAGTTTTTTAAAAAAAAATAAATGTAATTTTTATTGAAAATAATATATATTTATGTATTATATTATGTTGTATTTTACTTGTTAATTATTTTTTATTTTTAAATACAAAAATTATCTAAATATTATTAAATTTAAGTAATCTAACTAATATAACATTAATAATTTTTTGAAATTATTAAAAAAAAATTATTATTATTATTACACTTATATACAGATATATATTTCTAAAAAAATATTATTTCAAATTATAATTTTATTTAAAAAACAACAATCATATATTAGTTATAGTTTATAATACTTATTGTTTAATAAACATTTTATTAATATTATTAACATTTTATTACCCACTCATACAACCACACACATACACATACACACACACACCCTAATCAAAAATTGTAATAATAATTAATATTAAAAAAAAAACATAAATTAACATATATTTAATTTCTATAGTTTAATTTTATTAATTTTTTAATAATCAAAAATCATTTTATTAAATTTAAATAATAATTTTTTAACAAAAATAATAATACAATATATTTAATTAAATGAAAAGAAAACAATAAAATATATGTATTATTTAACAATAATTAACAATATTAATAGTATTAGTATTATTATAATAATAGTATTGTAATACAGTATTATTATGCACATCATAAACACCCCACCCATCCCACCCATCCCACCCATCCCACCCACCCCTACCACATACATACATACCTAACCAAATAGGCCGCCACCTAACAAACATTTAAACAGAAACTGTAGCCCGAACTCCAGTAGCTTAAGTACGGGTGCAATCAGTTTGAAACCAGTGGTAACCGCTTCGATGATAGGACTGACACATTTCGGATCAAACGGCGGTACCGTTGGACATACACCTATAGCCGATCCGATTTTACCGGCCAACTCCCCACCAGGTTTGACCAGTTCCTCTACATTGCCGATCAGTTTGCCAAACAAACTGCCCAGATCACATTTAATATCATTGTCACCATCACCTCCCGGTGCCGGTGTACTACCGACAACAACCTGATAGGCAACCGGTTGACTAAGTAATCGTCGTTGCAATATTGATCCTAGGTGATAATTATTATTATTATTTTTTTTAAAAAAAATAAATTATTAATAATTTTAAGTATAGTTTGTTTGTTTTTTAAATTTTTTTGTTTAAATTTAATTATTTAATTAATTAATTATTATATTAGTATACATACCTCTATTGTAGCAAGTTACATTTAGTATAAATAAGCTAGCTACTAATATAATAATTGTAAACTGATTGAACATGATTGTTTTGTTTATTTTTAAAAAATTAATTAATGTTTATTGTAATTTAATCTAGACTAAAATATTTGTTTAAATAAAATTCAAAAATCTTCAATGGTTTATATACCTATAATTTTTTTTTGAAAAATTAAAAACTTAAATTATGCTTGTCACTATTTTCCTAATAATACTATTTACACAATTTTTTTTTGGAAAAAAATTAAATATAATATTGCTTAATTAATTTCTTGATAATTTTTAAAAAAAAAATATTTTTAATATGTCATGTTGTTTGTTTGTTTTTTTGCGGTAATTATTATTAAATAAATTATTAAATAATAATTGAAAATATAAGTATATTTTAGTAATTAAAAAATTTTATATTAAACTATCAATAGTTATTTTATTTGTTAAATATATTAAATTAAGTTTATTTATTTTTTGAAAAAATAACTATTGTCTAAACATAAATTTGATATATTAATTTATTAATTTAATAATAAATTTTATTAAATAGCTAAATCCCTATATGTATCCGTAAATTTAAAAAAATATATTTTTTTAATTATTTAAATTTTTGATTTTTATAAAATTATTAAAGTTTAATACAAATAAAATAATGATTATTTTTAGTTTGATTTAAACAAAACAAAAAATTAAGTACTTTTTTTAGTAAATTAACAAACAATAGTATTTTATTTAAAAAAAAAATAGAAAAACATTAATTTATTTTGAATTTTTTTTATTGTTTGTGTATAAAACAATTAAAATAATTATAATTTTAGTTTATATTTTTTTTAATAAATATTAATTTTATATAAACTTGATAAACCAGTTTTTAATTGGTGAGTTAACCATTGTTATAAGTTAACCATGATAGCCATAACCGTATCCACTAATTTATCAATTTTTTTTTAAAAAAAAAACAAAAATAATTAATTAAAAAAATAGCATTAAATTATTAGCTAGCTAAATTTTGAAAAACTTATTATATTAATAGACATTTGCATATTAATTTAAAAAAAACAATAACATAACATATAATACATATATAAAAACAGTATATAAATTTAATGTATACATACCGTCCATAGCCACCACCACCACCATAACCTCCATAACCTTTACCACCACCATAACCACCATAGCCTCCACCACCACCATAACCACCATAGCCTCTACCACCACCACCATAACCTCCATAACCTTTACCACCACCATAACCACCGTAACCGCTATATCTTTTATTTAATTTAGCATGGTAATTAAAAATTAAATATTATTATTATTATCATGAAAATTGTCTACGAGACTAGTTATTTTAGAATTAGTTATAAAATAAATAATTTAATTAATTAATTAATTAAAATAATAATAATTATTATTACCTTAAAAATCCAGCGCTGGCTGATTGGGTCAATAGTATGGCACCAATAAGTGCTGCTAAAATCATTAATTCAATCAAACGATACATATTTATTAAATAAAACAAAAAATTATTAGTTTTTAAAATTTTGTTAATTTTTTGAAATTATTATTATTAGTTTAGTTTTTAAATAACACACATATATATAATTTATAAGTTATTAAATGTTATTTAATTTTTTAAAAGTTATTTATATAGACTATTGATTAAATAATTTGTTAATTTTTTTTTGTTTAAATATTTGTTATGTTATTGTTGTTGTAATAACTGTATTATGTTTTGCTAAAGATAATAAAATTTTTATATAATTTTTAATTAAAAAAATATATTTTTATATATTAATAATATTATTAATATCCTGGTTAACAAAATGTACTGTAAAATATTTTTAAAAAAAAGTTTTTATTTCTAACTAAAATTTTAATTTTTTTTGTTTGTTTGTTTGATTGTCGATAGATTGCAATTATTTTTAGTTCAATAACAACAACAAAAATTAATAAATATTGATTTTTTTAGTTTAGTAATAAAAAACACTATAAATTTATATAATGTCAATAAACATAGCAAACAAATAATAAAAATTATTATTATTATTATTATAATTATTATATTAATAGAAATACATTATAAGTTTACTATTCTAGTAATTAAGTATTTATTTACTAAATAATTATATGATATATATTAAACATTTATATAAAAACAGTAAATTTATACCAAAAAAATAAATAAATATTTATTTATTAAAAATATTATTTAAAATATATTAATATTAATAATTATTATTAATATTAATAGAAATACATAATAAGTATAGTAATCTAGTAATTAAGTATTTATTTACTAAATAATTATATCTATATATTAAACATTTATATAAAAACAGTAAATTTATACCAAAAAATAAATAAATATTTATTTGTTAAAAAAATATTAATAATTATTATTAATAATAGAAATACATAATAAGTTTAGTAATCTAGTAATTAAGTATTTATTTACTAAATAATTATATATATATATATATTAAACATTTATTTAAAAAAAACAGTAAATTCATACCAAAAAAATAAATAAATATTTATTTGTTAAAAAAAATTATTTAAAAATATATTAATCATTATTATCTATCTATCTAACTATCATCTTAAATAGATATTATTTTGAAAATTATTTAACAATAATAAATGCATCAAGATAAAATTCAAACATAACCATAGAAATTCCCGGTTATTCATCGGAAATAAATCCAAACAATAAAACCCGATATCCGGACCACACAAATGTTCAATCATTGACTGGAGTTTCCATTTCTGGCGATACGTTAGTCGACTACCCGACCGACACAAATAGGACTGGAGTAGACAACGTGATCGATGACTGGCCTCCGATGATACCCAAGTAGACATCATATTTATTAGGAAATATATTGTGAAAAATAATAGGAAATATAGGGATAAAAATAAACGTGATAATAAATTTGATCGGGGTGCAAATATTAAAAACAATAGGATTTCAAAACCAATAGTCGATAGATAATACAAATAAAATAGTATCCAATTGAATGTCCGATTAATATCCCGTACATAACGGGATAGATGGTGATGATGACCGATTAGTAAATTGACAATGCTAAATTTATCATGGTGATTATTATTATTATTATTATTATTATTATTATTATTTAATTTAGTAGCACGGTACAATTGTTGATTAATTGCACTAAATTTATATCTAAAATATAGGCACATTAGCGACCATATTAATACACCAAAACATGGTATACTAAATGCTACCAGGGTCCATCCCATGGTGGATAGTGTACCCAATAGGACAGTTAGCCCAGTAAAATCACCAGCTAAATAAGCTAGCATCATTAAACCCATGGTATATACATTGAATACCAGGACCAATGACCAATAGGTATAGTCTAGTAGCAATCGGGTTAACCATTTGAATATCCAGGCCAATCGTGTTTGTATTACGGGATTCATGGGCAACAATCGGGCCAGTCTACCGTATTGCCATTGATCCAGATAGTCTAGTATGGGCAACTGGTGTCGGGTGTATTGATATTGGATGGTTAAGTAGATTAGTAGCATAACCAGTGCACAATCGGCTAACATATATGGGCCAAATGTTTCCGGCAACCATACCTGATAGAGTGGATCGCCTACTAGTTGGCGCATCCATTGCCTGTCTACTAGTCCGGATAGTAGATAGCGTATAATATATAGGAGTTGTATTGTATCGACTATAATTATGGATACTAGACGTCCAACTGGTAGATGATTTAAATAATTATAATAATTATTATTATGAATAGTATTAGTATTGATATAATCGCTATAATTTGATATCAATATACAATATTTTATAGCAAAATTAATTGTTTTTTCAATTATTTGATTCATTAATATTTAAGTTATTAATTAATTATTTTAATGTAATTATAATTATAATTATAAATAAATAATATAAACATTTGAATTAATAAAATCATATTAACTATATTTATTTATTTATAATTATTTGGAAACTAAAAACTAGAATTTATTATTATTATTATTATTATAAAATACTTTATATAAAAAAAACTTAATGTTTAATATTTTATCAAAAAATAAATATAATAAATAAAATAAATTTAGTATTATATAAATAACTTTATTGATTCAAAACAAAAATTATAAGTTAATCAATAATAATAATAACGATAGTTATTGTTATTTATGTTTACAATAAAATGCAGAAAAATAACAATTATATATAAAGTTTATATCTCAAAATTATAAAATAAATAAATATCTGTCTAATATAAGTTAATAACCAGGCATTTATTTATTTTTATAATAATAATAATAATATAAATAAACTAGATAAAAAAATTTTTAAATATCAATATATGCTGTAAACAATATACTGTATTAACACTAATAACATAGTTATTATTATTATCACTGAATAAATAAATATCAAATATATATATATAAATCTATTTAAAAAATTTTAATCCCTATTTTAATCCCTAATTTTATGCATTTTATTTTCACTAACCAATTGAAATATTACTTTTATTTATAGAAAATTTATAGACCAGTAATAAAAATTATAATAATGTATTGATTAGACAAACATATCAAATAAATATCTATTAATTAATACAAAATACCTGTATATTATATACAGAGGATATATATATATAGTTAAAAATTAACAACAAAATAATTATAAAAAAAATATCTATAATAAGTTATTTAAGTAAAAATAAAAATTTTATTTAAATTATTTATTTATTTATTTTTTTGGAAAATAGACAATAAATTTATTATTATTATTATTATTTTCGTTGACCACTAAATGTCGGCCAAAAACAACTACAACAACAGTAATAGACTACCGATAGCCGACTTGATTAGTGAACTTGAATGCGGTATATGTCTGGCAGTGGTCAGCGAACCGGTAGTTACTCAGTGCTGTCGCCGACTGTATTGTCGCCGTTGTATTGAACAATGGCTTAACAATACCGGCGCCGGTAGTAGTAGTAGTGTTGGACATATAAGTAGGTGTCCATTGGATAGACGGCCGCTAACTGTCCAACAGTTACGCAAACCATCATTGGCTATAATTAATTTGCTAACTGTGCTCAACAAACATCAAACTAAACTACAACAGCAACAACAGCGACAAAAATTTAATGGTATATAAAATTATTTAATATATATTTATATATATAATTTCTAATAAATTATTTTTTAAAAAAAAATAAAATTTTGAACAAACAAAATATATAAGACAATTATAATAAAATAATATACTGTAATATTATATTTAGATTTTTATTCAAAAAAAAATATAATTATATTATATATATATATATTTATTTATATAATAAATATACATGTATATAATTGTATTATAAAAATTTAGTTTATTTTATACGCATAGTTTATTGTTGAAAATAAAATCTAGAATTTTCTAAAAATTTTATTTATAAAAAAATCATTTATTAAATACTTATTACTAATGTTTAAAAAAAATCATTAATTAGTCATTAAATCACTCATAAGTCATATATAACATAGCTTTTGACTAAACTATTTGGAAATTAAAATTGAATTTTTGTATTTCAAACAACAAAAAAAAATTTTATCACAAATTAAACAATTAGTTTCTAAATAGTTTAATAAGTTTTTTTGGCTAATAAATATTTTTTTTAAAAGTTATTTCTATTATTAAATAAACAAATTTATTATATACATATATAGATAGTTTATTTTGTATAAAATTAAATCTAGAATTTCTATAAAAAAAATTAAAATATTAAAAACTTATAACTAATATTTTCAAAAAAAAAATTCATTTACTAGTCATAAGTCATATAAAGCACACAACTTGTGACTAAACTATTTGAAAAATTTAATTAAATTTTTTTAGTTACTAATAAAAAAAATTAATATTTTATAGACCAGTAGCTCATTAGCTCTCAAACTGTTTGGTTTGATTTGATTTATTAAAAATAATAATAATTAGTTAATTTGTTTTTTAAATAAATTTATTTCTTATAAAAAACAAACTAAAAATAATATTTTTTTTTTGTGTATATTTTTTGCATTTTATGCATTATTATCATATATTATAAATTGTTAATTAATTATTTTTTTGTCGCTAAATAATTGTATAGTTAATAGTAATAATATGAATAGAGTCCACACATCGCTGATTATTAATGGAGACATTGATAACAAAGTCAAAGCGCTTATCACCTGTCCATTGGGCGATCATATTATAGTCAACGGTGCCCAGCTGTCCAAATGTTGCGGTCGAGTCATATGCGGACAATGTTACGATATAGCGGCTGCTGACGATAGGATGACCGCAAACAATGTCCAGTGCATTGTTTGTCCGATTTGTTCGTTTGAATTGTCAGATAAACCATATGTTACGGAAATGCCTCCATTTATCAAACAATTAGTTGACTATAAAATTCGTGTTAAATGTGTCTATAATGGTCGTGACTGTACACACGTGGGCTTAATCGGCGAGCATTTGAATCACATTATAAGCTGTAGTCGAAAACCAGTTAACACGTGTAACAAATGTGGCGCTGAACACGATATTGTTCAACGGCAAACAACAGCTGGCAATCCTAGTGAGGA